AGAAAACTTGCGTTGAAATCGAATTGATTGCGCATTTGACTTCTTTGGACAACGATTACTAAACACAGCTGACACCTCTTCAAACAAAGTTAGAACGAGAGTGTTTGATTGATGGTGAAAGGAAACTAAAAATTCTAAGTTAAGTTACTTCTAGTCATATGGAGGTTCAGCGAGAGCTCCAACTACGACTAAGGCTACATTGCAGTGAAAAGGATAAATTTTGACATTGGGTGTCAAGTAGTTGGTTGTGGAACCTTTGTCTCTTTCGACCTCATCTCTTATTTATAGGCATGTGCTGGTAACCGCGCGCCTTTAAGAAAACCGCTTGTTGGATAACTGCTAGAAAGAACCGCTCCCCCTTCTTTAGAGTGGTTGTTACTCCTTCAACTGCCTAGGTGCCTCTCTTGGAACTGTCGTCTTGGTGCTCACATCCTCTCCACCATTACCATGACTGTTAGATATCATGAATCAAGATATCTAGATCTCACGACCGACGAGGTCTACCAAACTCCACGCGACAATGCCCACTTGCGGCCATCGTGGTCTGATCTCTTCCTCATGATGACACTCTAGATCTAAATCTCGCGACCACTCACTCGAGACGAGGGATATCTAGATCTCACAACCAACGCGAGACTTAACTCCCTCGTGACTAACGTGTTCAAGCTCTCGGACTTAGTATATCATGTGGCTTCCTTCTCCTCGCATAGCTTTCCTTCTCACGTCTCACTCGTTGGTTTAGATCTCGGACGTGGTGTAGATCTCACGAGGAAATCCATCTAGATCTCGCGACCAACGTGGTCTAGCAGACTCGAGGCGAACGTGGTGTAGATCTCGCGACCACCATGTTCTACCTGACTCGCGATGCAGTTCGTCTAGCGGACTCGCGACGAACACGGTCTACTAGACTAGTGAAAAATGTGGTCTAGATCTTGCGACCAATGCGATCTACCAAACTCCACGTGACAATGCTCACTCATCGTGATCTAATTTCGCGGCTAAGGTCTTCTAGATCTCGCAACCACCATGGTCTACCTGAATCTCGACGAAGTCCGTCTAGCGGACTCGCGGCTAATACAGGCTACCAGATTCGTGATGAACATGGTTTATCAGACTTAGCCTCCTCGCGATGAAAATAGTGACTCTCAGAGACTTGCTCGTTTGGGCTTAAAAATCTAGTATCATAAGGCCCTGTTTAAATAACAATAATAAATATAGTTGATTTGGCCTCATAAATACAATAAATTCTTTGTGAATAATCAATGTGGTACAAGATTATTTTTTAGGTGTAAACAAATGCCCAAACTACTTAATGCATAGGAATTATGGACTAACTAGTTGAAACCAACTTGACCACCTAACACATCAATCCCACCCCTGTGGCTTGATTCGTCTTCAACCAGGTAACTAACATATCAATACAACATACCTTCACTTGGTTGTCGACTGCGGCCTAATCACAAAGCCATTACTTAATCAAAACTGGCTTTAAACGGGTGAATGGCTAAACATCGCTCTAATCTTCCTACTATCGCCCTAACTTAAAAATGGAAATTACATAATCGTCCATAAAAACAAAACAAAATCACATCCATCCTAACAGAAAATACCCAATCCACCGTCGACGTCCTCCGCCATCCACCCAATCCGACATCGACGTCCTCCGCCATCCACCCAATCCGCCGTCAACGTCCTTTCGGCAACCACCCAATCCGCCTGCCATCCTTATTCTCCCCACCATTGCTATATAAATATAGATATAGGAGTTATGTTTGGGATCGCCTGTGGAAGGAAACAATTAAGCGGCGATTCCATCCTTAAATTGAGGACTAATTATTCCAGGCGTGACAAGTACGTACCCAGCAATGGCGGTAGCAGCCTGTCAACACTCTTGCACTAGCGATGATAACTAATAAATTGGTGAGTGGCGTCTCAATGGGTCGACGACTACGAGATCCTATCCGCTACGGGTTGATAATCGATGCGATTAAGACGACCGGAGGTGGACAGTTGTGATAGCGGCCGGTAGTGGAGACGGCGACAAGTTGTGGTTAGTGGTGGAGAATATATATATTTTGATAGTTATATGTTTGTGTTTGTTATAATAAATATTTCCTAAAAATAAAAAGAGAAGGGTAAAGTTATAATTTTAACTCCTAAGTTAGGGCGATTATAAAAAAAAGTAGGGTGACATTTATCAAAAACTAATTAAAACAAAACAAACTTTGGTATAGGCTATTGTCGAGAGATGCAGGAAAAAAGTGTTTTTTTTTTTACCATTTAACCTATTCTTCCCATCCTCTCACATCTTAAGCTAGTAATGTGGCTTAAACTAGGTGATGGTTACTTGCCTACTTGTCCCATCAAGAAGTCATGTACTTAGCCAAATTTTGGCTATCACATCAAGCCAAAGCGGCCATATGAAACTCGCTGTGAAGACTTTTCTCATGCCTAAGCCAAAATTTGGCTTTCAACAATCAAACCAACACGAGCGAATGGAACTCGCCGCCAAAGCTTTCCCGTGACTTAGCCAAATTTTGAGTTTCAATGATCAAGCCAACATTGCCAGATGGAACTCGACACTCGCCATCAAAACTTGTCTCACGCCTTAGTCAAATTTTTGGCTTTCAATGATAAAGTCACCTAATGCCTTCAACGAGACACTGACCTCACTTTATCACCTACATCCTTATTGACATCTAGTACTTGGCCACATGGTTGAGCAAATAACTTAGAATTTTTTTTTTACATATTTTGACAAGGAGCGGCTCATCTCACCTCGTCACAAGGCTAGATACCTCACTCGCAGCAAGTCAAGCAGTCTAATTCCATTGCACTTTACTTAACCAAATTCTGACTTTTGTGGAAAAAATTGATGTCCCTCACTCTAAACCCTTAGTTCCACATTTCAAATAATCATGCCCCCAAGTCATAGCTACCTGAGAGGCTGAGACAAGACGACATGGCATGCCACAACCTTATATATGACTCGGCAGGCTAAACCATCACAACAACTTGGTGGCAAGATCCTTATATCGAAGTTCTTCTCTTTTTTTTGTTTTTTTTTTTTTGTTAAGCCATGAATGTCTTTTTATTATTTAATATATTAATTTTATTTATTTATTTCATATGGGAAGGAGTGACGCAGTCATTGCTCTTCATTGCCTTTGGCAACAACCAATGTGCCAAAGGTGTACACCCACTCCTAGTGCATGGATCATACCAGACAAGCCATCCATAGAATACATGACTCATTTCCTTATATTTATTTCAAACTTTTTTGCTTACCAATGGATGGTACCAAGTCGACATGTCTTGTCTTGATAGCCTTGTATGGGGTCTCATACTCCTTTACCATGGCCACCTTAATTAACATGTCAAGATGATCATGCGTTTTCCTCTGTCTTGGTTTGCCCCTAGTTAAAACATGTTTATTCTCCTCATGTTGTTGGAGACCATGCCTAGACTTGACAAGTCGGCGACCCCCCATGTGGCCCACTTGACTCTGTCTCTCAACTTCTAAATTTTGTTGGCTCCTATACTTAGCACACAACCAATCTTGTTTGTTGGAGCCATCATGTTTAGTTGGTGACTTCTTACACATGTCCCCTTGTCCACCCTTCGTGGTTGGTGACATAAAATTACCACTCATAGACAAGGACTTGCCCCCCTGTCCACCATTGGTCATGCTATTATACTTATAATAGCCATGGATGGCCTGAACAAGTACTTGTGTCTTCTTAGACATGCCCCTTTGTCTAGACTTGACCAAACTACCATGCATATCATAACGATGTATGGCTTGGACTTCATGTGGCTTCTTGGACCTGTCTTGCCCATACTTAGCTAAAATTTCAGATTCATAAAATATTTTGTTGCTTTCTTACGTCGTGACTTATTGGATATGTCTCCACATCCACTATCTGTTGTTGGTGGCATGCCCTTCTGTCCAGACTTAGCCATATTAGCATGCTTATCACAAGCATGTGGGGCTTGTGATTGATATGGCCTCTTGGATACTACATGCCCCCTAGATGAACATCTCGACTTTAGTTTGCGATATGTTAGAGATCCATGCCGTCCTTGATGGGCTCTAGGTTGTTTATCACAAGGTTAGGTAGTAGTGCACGAAAGGTTATGCATCAGAACTCAAACACTAACACACACTTCTTGAATTATAGTACTTAAGATGACTTGGGTGCCGGTGCATAACTAAGAGTTAGGCACAACAACTACATAACTCAGCCTTTGATAGCTTATGTTGATCTTATTACCACCATCGCCGACCTTTGGGTAGCTGTTTACTCAACCGCCACAAATCTCTTCCTCGGGTGCAACCTTTCTATATTTCCCTCACTCAGACCCTCTGGCATTGTCGTCTTTGGCTAAATTTGTTACGGTTTAATTTTAGAATGATATATTTGTGCACAAATTTAATAGGAGTATATTAGTTAATTTACTATAATAGAGGAGTACAAAATGCTATTAAATCTAAAAAAATAAGATTAATTGCTGATACTCTAATTAACACTTAATAGGTTGAGCTTAGAGGGGTACCTAGGTTACGTAGAGGGGTTTTTTCACTTCAACTTTCATCTTAGGAGCAACTAAACAATTTTCAGCTCATATGAGGAATTTTACAATGCTATATAGCATTGGTGATCTAGGTTTTTGTCTTTATGGTACAACTTGAAATTGTACCTTTAACGTTATGGTACAACTTCAGATTGTACCTATACTTTTTATACAAATTCTTGTGTGGTACAATTTGAACTTATACTTTTATATGATGGTATAACTTCAAGTTGTAAAGTTATACCATAACATAATGGTACCAATTCCTTTCTGGTACAACCTAAACTTATACATTTAATGTTATGATACAACTTCAAGTTGTACATTAAAGCACCAATGCTAAATAGCATAGTAGAAGTGCTCTTTTCACATAAAAATCGAAAAGTTAATAAAACCCAAATAGTTTTCCTAAAATATCCAAATAAGCTAGGAATTACAGTTTAGTTCCTATATATCTTTGATCTCACTCATACGTCCTACACATATTTGAAGAAATCTTCTATCAAGAAGCAAATAACAATAACAACAACAAAAGCTAACTCAAAAGGAGGCCTCAGGGCTAGTGAAAACGAAGTTGTGGGAGGAGCCATCATCCAACAACTTAAAGAAGAGGTAAATGTGAGATCCATCGTGAATCCCATAATCAGCAAGTGGCGAGTCATCATCTAGAAGAGCTTCCTCCCCTCCATCTCCCTGCAGCAGGATCAAGCGATCAAAGGGTAACTTCTGATGGCTTGCGATTGCTTGTTTGAGATCAGCAACTGTGGCATTGTCGTCGTCCTTTACGTCAACATGGAAGAGGCTTCCTGTCAATATCTCCACAACCACTTTCATTGTTGAAGCTAGCACAAAAGAAATTAAGAGCAGCAGTGAAGTCCAGTGGAAAGTTATATAGTTCATGCTTCTTCTTTCTTCTTCTGTTCATCCATTTCTTCATGCATGGTGCATGATTCTGTGGTTAGTTTGAAACATGCCTAAGTCATGATTGGTGGTGGCTGAAGAGTGAGATTCGATTCGGAAAAAACACATTCGATTTTGTGTTTAGGATGGATTTATCGGGGTTTTGGGTGGTAATTCGTACATATAATGTAATTGAGCAATACTTGGAACTGAAATTTTCCGATATTAATGTGTATAACTCATGGAAATAGGATCTTGATGAAGTAACTTGCCAAGGATTGTGGCCATTGTGTGCTGAATTTGAAACTTTAATAACAAATTTCTCCTAGAGAACATCCGGAAGATATTCATGTATGTATTTTAGGAGTCGCTTGCCTGTGAGATATGGGCCATGAATTTGGAACCCAAATCTCAAACATAAAGTAATTGGCGCAACTCCTTCGTTTGTATGTTAAAAATGAGAGGGATCAAATCCACAAGAACACAAATTATATTATATAAACCTAAATCCATGTTACTGTTGCCTATACCTTTGCTCTCATTAGAGATGGCAACAAAACCCGAATCCACGGTTACCCACCCGATCCAACCCGGTCAACGCGAGTAAAACCCATGTTGACAGGTTTTGGGTCGGGTTTGGGTTTAAACCCGCTACACTATTCCCCAGGTCGGGTTGGGTTTGGGTTTAGGTAAACCCGCCCCATGGGTACCCGCCCACACACATATAATTACTTTTCCGGTATATTTAATATTCTAAATAATATATCTTCCTTAAACAACTAATATTATTTATGTTTGTGGAGACATGTATAATTTGTTCTTTTTAATTGTTTAGAATGAAGTTGATATTATGAAGTGGAGAGTGAACAAACTTAGTTGACGAGGAAGAAACTTTCAATTAATCTTATTGTTTATAGATGTTTATCTTTAATTTTGAATAATTTGTATTGATCATTTGCGGTTTGCTTGTATGCTCTAGATTGGTGTTTTTTGTATGAATAATTTGTATGAGAAAATTGATGTTAAAATTTTATTTTGAAAGAAACTTGTTATTGTAAATTTTTTACTACAAAAACCCACGGGTACCCATGAACTCGCGGATATCCATCGGGTTGGGTTGGGTTGGGTTTGAGTTTTTCAACCCCACCGGGTTTTACCCGGGATTTTTTGGCGGATAAACCCATGGGTTTGGGTTTGGGTTTGACAAAACCCGCTCCAACCTGACCTATTGCCATCCCTAGCTCTTATTGGTTCTTTCTTTCTTTCTTTCATGCATATGTTTTTCCTTTTTCTTTTTGAAAAAATAGGTTTTCCCATTTTAAGATTTTGCAACTTCCACGTAATCCATAATTGTACTTTTTTTTGCATGAGATATTCGGATCACACCTATTCTAAAAAATGTTTCTCAATTTGAGAGTTGTGAACTTTTGATAATGTTGTAACTGTGGAAATAAATTTGCAACGGTAGTACCCATCTGAATCTGACTTAATCAAATAGGGTAAAATTCGATCTCGAGTGATTTTTAGTGGGTGTGAAAAAAATTGAATCCGAATATTGCAGTAATGGGTGGGCATGGTTTTCTCACTATGTAACTCAAATATGCTCGATTATACACCTTCATATGTATACTAGCTTATAACCCGGCCCTTTGGCCGGAATGCTCATATTTGATTATTTGTATTTTTATGTTACTTTTAAGTCTATTAACCCGTTTAATCTTATTGATAATCATTCGATCGAGATGATACATAATGAAATAATATATAGGTCGAAGATTCGGAGAAATATCATAATCATTTAAGAATATAAAATATAAAAATGTATCATTGACCCCATTTTCATAATGCTAATTAAGTCCCTCTTAAAATGCTATTGGTTAGTTTTCTTTTACAGTCAAGAAATATAGAGTATAAAAGCTCACTGAAATTCTCACACAACCCATAGATAGTTTGAAACTAAATCTTAAACCTCACAATCCTATATAAAGGGTTCAATGCTCTCCTTTTAGAAACAATATGTCACTAATCAAAAAGAAATGGAGAGTTGTTGATTCAAGTCATCTATATAGTAAAAACTCAGCTAAGAGGGGACCATCACAACTTGAGAGCAAACGAAAAAATCAGGGTTATCTCCAATATACGAATAGACTCGATCAAAGTAATAAGGCGCAAAATTAGACACTCCTTATCTATTAGTTCCAGTAGGTTGAATAAAGAAGCGACCTATTTCAAACAATCAATCAATGATTCCTCGTTTTAAGATAGAAATAGGTTATGACAGTTGCAAAAACCATAAACATAAAGATCCAATAGCCACCACTCTCCGTTGTACAACCAAATTTCTATCTCAAGAGGCATATATTCAACCAAAAATTCAATTTCTAATCTTCCTTCTACAACTTCAGTTATTGATGAACTCCATTCTATTCGCCATGAATTGATATCGGAGTTGAAATCTTCTACTCGCCCAACTTAAAATCCCCAACAATAAAACCGTAGTGCCAAGAGATACATGAAGATTGATTTTCAATGACAGTCTTGTACTGGGAAGTGCAAGGCGCAAACTATTGCACGATGGATGAAATTTCGGAGGAAGTTATAAAGAGAAAAGAACAAAGATAAAAAAAACACAAAATTTAAATTGAAAAATGCAAGGATACAACAGTAGTTACATAATTAGTTTCTTCCATGTTGGCCAATTACCCATTTACCTTTAGCAAAAATTAAGGAGAGAGCGAGAATTTAAAATTGAGAAAATTACATGAAACTCTACTATGAAAATAGAAGTATCAAGCTCGATAAAAATAAATACGGTAGACTTAGTGAGCTTGCTAATTATGATAAAAAGTCCTCTGATTTTCAGAGATTAACTTTGTCTATTTTTTTTATCAAAAAGAATGCAATAAATTTGTTTAGTGTAACTGGTTGTGATTGTTATCTTTGTTTGAAGAGACCCGGGTTCAAACCTTGATATTGCTATTTTTATATGAAATAAATAATAAATGTGTAAAGACAAAAATGACCTTCCTACTTTCACTCTCGTTGCAGGAAATTTGAAATGGAGAAAAGTACACAAAACTCTACCATATATTAATAGAGGATTTTCTAGAAATTTCATTATTTTTCTCTATAACCTTCATATTTATTATACATATATAATATTTTCGTGCAGTTGTGTTGTTTTAACTAATTTTATTCATTTTAATGATTTTTATTGTCCTACCCAATGTCATTATACGAGTGAATGTTAACATGTTGGTTAAGAAAATATATAAAGAAAAATTATTGCTCGTGTATAACACGTGAAAACCCGAATCATCGAGAATGGGGATGATTTTAATTTTCTGCTCGATTCTTGTGTGAATATGAGTATGGGTAAAACCTAACTATTCTAGGTAGGATAATGGATATGCACTATCCGCATCCGACCCAATCGATTTCAATTCCTAATTTTCATTAATCCTTTTTCCTTTTGTTCATTTGATAGAAATTAGGATGACAAAATTACCGTTGGTACTTGGTACTCAGATGAATTTGAATAATTTTATTTGAAAATGTCCAATCAATAAGATATTTTGGAGGTTTACCTCAAACTCAACAAAGAAAGTAATAATTTTTAGTATTTCTTCCAAAATCAACTGACTATTTACTACAAGCGCGATTTAGATTCTCTCACTTCACTAGTTAGAGCACTCATTTCTGTAAGATTTATTTTTTATTTTAGTCTTTCATTCTTGCTTATTTCTATTCATTTATCCAAAAATATATTTAAAATCCGTCAACATCAACATCTGAAGAAAAATATTGCACAGTATCAAGAACTATTTGCTAGGATAGTTTTGGCAATGTCATATTATAAATTTTTTTCTACGAGGATGATTACTATTTAATCATGGTTCAATGTTGATATACAAAAATAATTGTTATATAATTTTATAATAAAAATTGATACTCTTTCATGATTTTGTATTTCGTTGCTTAAATTCAAATTATATGGTGCTAGGGTTATATAGTAGATATCAACCCAACACCTGAATAATTTATTAATGGTTCGATTTTTTGTTCGGTGCACTCACTTAGAATAATGCATTAACTATTAATAATTTTATGTTATATCATCATATTAGACTCATGTTACCAATTAAACTCTAAAATTAGATGTCTTAAGACTACCTTTAAAATTGGGTGAATAGTATGTACGTATTTTTGTAATACAAGATGTAATGATGTTAGGTTATTAAAACAAAATAATAAATTCCAGTGAGTAACCAACAAAGTAAAAAATTAAAAAGCAACCGCAGGCCGTTGCAGAGCTCGGCCACCACCTATCTAGTTTGAATTAAAATTCAACACTAATAGATGAGATCGTTTAGATGAGGAATTATGATACAAGCCCCTCGTTTAAGTACCATGACATTTTTATATGTAAGATGTATGTAGAAGAACTTGTTTGGATTGAGACATGTAATTCTAACGTAATACTCCAAATTACATTATTGTCCTCTTCTTCTACCCTTTTGCCTGCTTCCCCTCCTTTCTTCATTTGTTCATTTATTTTTCCGTATTCCTTGTTTCCCCTCCTAATCATATCAAAACAAGAAAAATTAATTGAGGCTCTTTGACCAAAGAAAGAACGGTTGTTGCTGCCAAATTCCAAATCGATGAAGAAGAAGAAAGAACTGATGTTGCTTCTATCCAATAAACCGTGATATTCTTCTTTCACATGCTTCTATCTCAAACCCAGAATCAGATCCAAGAAGGAAGAACCTCTAACCCAGAATCAGAGATATTGTATGGCGGTCTGCAATTGACGATGAACAACAATAATGACAGTTCAGTTTTGGGTTTCGGTGATTTTGAAAGATTCAATGTTGCGTTGCTTGCTAAACAGGTTTGGCGAGTGCTTCGGAATCTTGAGAGTTGTTTGGCCAAAATCTACAAAGCTAGATTTCATCATCACCACAAATTTGTTGATGCTAAGGCGGGATCTAGACCATCATGGGCTTGGCAAGGGGTTCTGGAAGGGCGAGATCTTCTCAAACGCGGTCTTCGCTGGCAGATTGGAACTGGTCTTTAGGTCCGCATCCTAGAGGATCGGTGTCTGCCATCCACTCCACCATCTTCTCTCACCCTCCTCCCTTGTGTGCTCAATCCTCCCCTTAGAGTGGCTGACCTCATCTGCAGTGACTAGCGATGCTGGAATCTA